TATACTTTTTATAATTATAGCGAGTATTTATGCGTTACTTTTATTATTAATATTTTTTTTTATAAAAAGAAAAAATTCTATGAAAGGCTATATAGGTACCATATTATGTGCAAAGTTGGAATCACATTTACTTTAATAGTTTATGTGTGTGTATAACTGCAAAGTCAAAATTTATGTTATCATCACATTAATATATTAAAATGTATATTTTGCAATTTAATTATCATAGACAAATCTGATATATCTATGAACATATAAAAATAATTGCAAAAGGATCATATTTACAATTAGAATAGATTATTAAAAAAATGTGAATACTTTCCGTATATTCTTTTTATTATTATGATTATTATTGTGAAACAGATACGGCATGTACTGTTTTATATAGAAAGATAAAATTCAGAAAAGATTAATAAAGTCACATATTAAGATTAAATATTACATCAAATTTATGTATAAATCACATTTGCCATATAACTTTAATAATTCAATATAAATTTTGTAATTACTTTTATTTTAAGTTTTAAAATCAAAAGTGTGCGTATGCGCGCGCATGTGTGTGTGTGTGTGTGTGTGTGTGTGTGTGTTTTATGAAAAAAATAAAGTAATTTTCATTAAAAACATAATTTAATGCATAAATATATCGACTATGAAATATCTTTTTTTTCATCTTAAGTAAAAGAGAAAAATTTAAATCTCATGGTGGCATTCTAATGAGGACTCTTTAATATATCAAAATACTAATAATGTCACGCGTAATTAATAATCGATTAACTTATTATCATAATCAAATTGAGGGAAACCTCTAATTAATTTTGCATCTTAATTCATTTATATTCCAAATTTTCAACACGTGTCGACGAAAGCATCAAATCGTGACGCAGTACCCAACTATACATTGTCATATATCAAATGCATCACGCTGGTATTTCATCTACTCGCTTACATCTACGTTATGTCCGCGATGGCTATTTGTTTCGAGTACCCGCCAACGCTATTTCGCCAGCATTATTAAAATGGGCTATCGCACAATTTGCATGGCGACAATAGCGTAAGGCGACGCCCTGAAAAGGAGCCGTGCGATAAACAGTAACGGCAGTTCTTGATATGATGAAAGGAAAGGGAAAGTCGAGGATGCTTCCTTGGATTCGAGGATGTTTGGATGAGATAGATAGTGAGAAAAATACGAAGAAAAAAAGGAAAGACGGGAAAAACGCAGGAATGCGAGAGATAAAAAAAGCAATTAGAAGACATTATTATTTGACCATCCTGTTCTTTATCATCGTGTACGCAATATATGTCTGTCGACATGTATTTTCGCTCTTTAAGCACGTACGCGACATTTCCAATCTTTGAACGCAAAACATGTGGAATTTATATGTGGAAAACATCACCTTTTTAGCATAATTATTAAAAATAATCAAAAATACATTAACTGACTTTTGTCTGATAGCGAAAAATATATAATGCCGATAGTGAGAAGTGAGATTATAGTACCAAAAAAATTGAATACATACAAGTTAAACGAACTTATCATGTTGTTTAACGAGCTTAAATGATATAAATATTCTATATATTTTTTCTATCATATTCTAGAAGAATCTAAAAATAAAGTTGAGTTTGAAAAAAATACGAAGTCTTTTATTTTCAAATGGTAAAGAGCTTGCGATTCTTTCAATGAAATATTTATATAGGGAGATTGTCCTCGTAAAATATATAGTATAAGAATGGCAACCTGAATCCACTCGTATCTCGAGGACAAACAGTACAGTTGTATTCATGGCAAATTGGATATTTCTCCGTAGATACGTGGTGACAAGAAACAGATCGTATCTGTATACATCGATCCTTCATAGGTCTTACTATGTAAACAGTTACAACAATCGACACCACAAATTGCGTATCGCAATAATATATACATTTTTTTTAAACAAATGACAGATTTAGATCGATTATGGCAGCGATAGGGAAATGGAATATACTTATTACCGAAATCACCAGTATGCAAATGAAATTGAACATATTATTATGATCATCAATATGCAAATGAAAGATAAAGCAATCCATAGCTTATTAATACAAATCATTTATCATATAATAAACGATTAATTCAACGTTCCATAAGCAGAAAATATTCGTTGAAAATATTGTATAATTATATTTAGAGATTCATTGCGAATTAAAATGTATAACGTGCTCAATAGGTTGACATAAGTTTTATTTTTGATGCAAATACTTGCGTCAGTATCGGATGTAGGAATCAAACGATTCGAGCTTTATATTGAAAATTGATGACACGAACGTGACTAATGACTAGTGACGCAATATTTTCTTTATCCTGCTTTCATTCCCTCCGTTTTTTTTCCTTTCCTTCGTACTCGTCTTCTCCGTTTGTCTAATGACTTGCCTAATTTTACCGCCATTTTCTTGTAATTACGTAATGCTAAATGATTCGGAATAATTTCGAACGAGTTAGCGCGTGACGCATGTTCGTTACCTTCAATGATTGATATGAATCGGATTCCTCAATGCAATTCGCTGAAAAAAGTTACACAGACGTAAATCAGACATTTTGCGTGGTCTGTCATGACCTATGATGCGAGATAATTTATGTTAGCCGATCAAAGAGAAACACTACATGGCCTGCATTTCGGATGGTTTGCATTTCTCGTATCTTGTTTCTAAAGCGACTCCTAAAACTAATATCATTTAGAGAAGGTAACGATTGAAATTCGAAATTGCGGTTTAGTCAGTCCCATAGTTGAAAGTGCGAACCTGTACGTTCGTTGCTCATCACCGTAGTTGATTTTGGATTGTATTTCGTGAAACAGATTTAGATCGATTAACTCTTCATCATTTGAAAATTATTTGGAGAGCAAATCTTAAATAACAATTAATTTAAGAACATTTTATTATTAAAAAATATTAAAGAAACACGTAGTATATTTTTTATTTTATTAAATCCCTACTTTTGAGATATTTTATTTTTACGCACCTATTTTTGCACTTGATTCTTACATCCTTTCTTATTTCGCTAATTTGATTTGTGTGTGTGTGTGTGTGTGTGAGAGAGAGAGAGAGAGAGAGAGAGAGAGTTCCTATTGTTCTTATTTTTTTAAATATTAATTCTGAAAGCATTTACCTAAAGAAAAAGGTGTACATGTAGTATCTCATTTACATATAGTATCTTATTTTATATAGCAAATATTTAATAGGTAATATTTATAATCTTTACACGAAGAGAATTTTTTCTTAGAATTTATTCTGAAAATATGATGGTCATGGAACAACATTATATTTCAAAGAATTTTAATGTAAATCTCTCATTCATTAATAAAACTACAATAAAGTATAAAATAAGTTTGATCAATTTTATTGAAGTGCATAGTAAAAGTCTTTTAAATATTATATTGTACTACCACAACTACTATATTTTCAAGATAAATTTTAAAAGAAAATTCTCTGTAACAGTAATATTTAATCTTTAACAATTAATATTTAAAACTTAAGGATTACGCGAAAGTGTTGTTCGATCAATTTTAGATTCATAGCTCAAAATGAAACATTTATTATTTAGGATTTATGAAAATATGACAATACTATATAATGATTCGAAAAGGAACAGGAGTGATAATGTGGCTTTCCACAAAAATAGATTTAAAAAATTGGTTTTGTTAAAAAAAAATAGTATTTTTGCAAAATTATGAAAAAATAAAATATTGCAGAACGTATGCAAATCTGATATATATACTAATAATATATATATACTAGCCATAATAATAGCCTCCTTTACTAAAAAAAAAATATTAAAAAAGTATCATGTCAGAGTTTTTGGAAGTAATGATAAATTGTATTATCGTTATTATCATTTTATACGTCACGATATTTTTTTGTAAGCGAAAGGATACCGAATACAAGGATATATTTTTCGTTCAGTGCGCATAATATCGCGTGCGAAAAAGAATCGATCGATATCCTCGTACAATGAGATCCATTTTACGTGCCCCATCAGTGCTTTCCCAGCAAATCGCCAGGTAATCTATTAAGGAGCGACTCCTCACGCAAAAGTTTTCAGGGCCAAGCACCTGTGGAATACACCCATATCTAGAAATTCCTCCTCCGAAAGTGACATCCTCGTCGTTCGCACTTCGCGGTGAATTCATCACAGATTGTGGGTGGTCGCCGTTATCTCCGGGAACAAGAGGAGAGAACGCTGTGACCGAGGTACACGGGTACATTTGATTGGACGAGAATGCTTTGGCGGCGAATCGGCGGCGGGGTGGGAACCACCGTCCCGGGGGTGGGGACGTGCATACAGTGTGAGGGGGTGCGAGAGTCGCAAAGTCGCGGGCTTATATAAACGCGCGGCGAACCGTTCGCCTTCACAGAGTATCAACCGTCGCTGGACGATACATCATCATCCCCAAAGATTCTCCGGCAGATTCTCGCTTTTGTCAGTTACCTGGCCTTTATCAGCGACAAGGTACACATTTATATCCATTTTTCCTTTTTAGTGGTAATCTTGGCATTTTAAAAAAACGTCCCGCAAGTGTTATCGGTAGTTTTTGTCATATACAGATTTTTAAAAAAATTACAGCTTTCTGCAATGCAAAAACATTAAAGTATTAATAATCTTTAAATTGTAAATCAAATTTGTGAATCAAATAATGAATACAAGTAACTTCTATAGTAACTTCTGAAAGTAATATCTCTTTTTAAAAGAAGATATAAAAATATAATTCGTATTGGATTGATGAGAATAATTTTGGTCAAAGCAAATCTTAGTGTTTAAATATTTCACAGTAAATTTGTATTCAATTATGTAAATCGCGCACCGAAATTTTTTTCAGTCTTAAAATGCAATCATCAATAGAATTAGAATAATAATAAAACATATTAAATTAACAAGCAATTTAATTCATTTTGATGTTAATAAGAATTTTAGAAGGATTGTAATAATTTGATTTGCTAATCTAAGTATTTTAAGAACAGTAAATGATTCAATTTTACGAAATAAATAATAAAGAATAATTTAATTTATTACGAAAAATATTATCTCAGCTAGGATTCGAATCTGGATAAAATATAATATCTTCAATTTATTTTTTATAAAATAGAGAGAAAATAGATATCAAAATATCATCTTTGTCTCAAGTTTGTTTTAAAGACTTCTTAGTTACAAAGATACTTAAAGTTTGCCGCAGCAACGCAAAGGTAGCAAAAGCAATCTTTCAAATCGGATGACAAATTGCACGCATAACCCTTACAGTTACAGAAGTAACTTCGCGCTTGTATGATTATCCAGTAGTAAATTCTAGCACTGTGTCTCCCAGTAGTAAGACCCTGCATTGCCACAGACAGTAGTAAGACTCCATGACTCTCATGTTACGATGAACAGTAATAACTTCCCGCAGTTTGTCAGTAGAAGTTATTGCGGATATTTGGAGAACCCCTCGTAATTCTCGTATATTCTCTAACATAAACAGGATAATTCACGATTATATTTTTAAAATTAGAACTAAATCGACTTTATTCATGTGGAGAAAGGAATTGATTGAAACAAATTTTCTGAAAAATTCAGGACTTGGATAACATTTTAAATTACGTTTAACAGTAATAATTTTCCATGCATTTTGCCAACTCATAAAAGTTAATGTGAATATTTGCAGAACCTCTCGTATAATTCTCGTATATCTCTAGTATGAACAGGATAATTCGTAACTATATTACTATAATTATATATTATATATTACTAATTATATAATTATATATTACTATAATTATAAAATTGGAACTAAAACTTTAAGAAATTGATTGAAACTAATTTTCTAAAAAAATTCAGGACTTAAATAAAATTTTATAGAAATTTAAAATAGAATAACGGAATATTTTACAAATAATTAAATTGTCATATTAAACATAAATACATATTTAAAAAATACATTTCGTTATTTAGTTTTTGAGGGATTATTACGTTTGTTTTATTAGAGATAACAAATCTTTTATGACATGTAAAAAAATATACTTGGAAATGAGAAAAAAATCTACTGATTGCTTTTGACACGTGAAAATAAGAATATTTTCTGGATAATATTTAACAATGAACAAGAGGCAAGACAAATAATTTCATCGTAAAGAAATTATTTAGGTTGAACAAACATCGCAGAATTCGCACAGAATTTCGCAAACTCGATTACGTAAATTCTTCCGAAGTTTGACGAATTGCGTTTGTTTAAAACCTCTTGTCAAAAAGATGAAAGGAAAAACACAAGATGCAGGGAAAAGACTTCATTTTAATCAAACTGAATATCGCATCAAATTCATCCAAAAAATTTTTACCGATTATGATAGAATTAAATAACGAAAATTCGTTGTTTATTTTTAAAAATTAAATGGATTTTCTCTCCGTCGAAGAGATGTAAAATATGAAACTTTATCGTTGAGAAATTTTATTATCATTTAATGCAAAATATGAGACAATTTATATGACTTTATAAGTTTATAAGATCTTTCTCGAAATTTTTTAAAGAAAAAAGCGATTTCAAATTCATGAGAAAAATTTTTGCCGCGAAATTGATATATTATGAGGATATATTAAAGCATCTTGTGTTAATGCATAAAATTCGACCTGGATGGATTTTCATCATAAAATGCTCATTATCAATGTTTATTGTATGCTCGAACATGATCATGGTCGAGAGGGCGTATATGATGTACGTACAGTACTTGTAACAACAAAAGGATTAATTGTTGACAGATAAAGCACCTAATGAGGCACATGCACCGCAATAACCAATCGTGATTCCGTAATGCTATTGTCAGCAAGCGAAAAAAAAGTTCAATGCGTTCGATACAAAACACAAAACCGCCGCGAACGCATTATGATAATTTGCAATCGATTGATATCTAATTACAGCCCCCGGACATTATCGCGAACGGGCGCGGAATTATACGCACGGTGAGATTACCCTGCAATGCGTATCCTCATAATTTCCTCAATTGCACGATTGATTAATAGGCCAATTAATCAATCGTTTGAATTGCACGTAATTATTAGCTTAAAAATTAGCATCACTGAAAAGTTTCTTAATAAGCAGTTTACCAAATAATTCAGAAAATCATTTGAAAAACAAAGTAATTTATAAATTTGTCAAATAAAAGAAAGAATTCTATATTTGGTGCGAAGATTTTAATAATATTTAATTTTAATTATATACAATTTCAATAATATATACAGTTTTGAGATATGTACTAATAAATATTTAACTAATAAATACTAATAAATATTTACTAAAAATTTGCTGCTACAACCAAAAACTGGTTGCTGCAGCCATATAAAAATGTTATATTTTACTATCTAAATTGTTGTAGCAACCAATCTTTTCTTTTAGTGTATCATTAAATTTAATATGTGATATTATTATTTCGACTTTACGATTACGTTTCAAATTCGACAAATCAAATTAGTTTATAGTACAATTTATAGAAATGAAAAATGTATTAAAAAAGTTGAGTATTATTAAGCATCAAGATCCGCTTCAACTATATAGGATTTGTTTTTTCTCTTAAATTATATTAATTGTAATACTTATTAATTCGTTAATTATAATACTTATTGATTCGTTCTTCTATTTTATTCACATAGAATTACATTTGTTATCCAATTTTACAAAAGCAAAACGAATTCACACAACAGCGCCTATTTTTACAGACGGTAAAGACGGTAAAAGCCGTTTGGTTGGCACGCAATTTTATGCGTTTTCGTCCAAAACTTTTATAAGTTTGTAGTAACACGAAAAGCACTTAAGGATCCTTCCGCAAATTGCAAAGCCAGTTTCATCAATGTGAAGATAAAAGAAAGAAAGAAAGAAAAATTGTGAAATTGTGCGTTCTAAAAGCTTCGATGCGAATCATTTAACTGTTAACCGATTTCACATTTTAATTCATATTAAATATTCTGTGTGTTATTTTATATTTTTAATTTAATTAACATTTCTAATCTTTTATTTGTTGGAAAATATCTAAATTTTTCATGAAATTTTCTGCAGCTACATATATATATATATATTCGAGAGAAAAATTTGTTAATAACACTTTTAGATTTGAAATGAATCATAAACAATGACTAAAATTTTATTATTTTTAAATATACATTTCTGAACTTTATAATACTTGTATTATTTAAATCCATTAATTTCCAATTAAATTGAACAAATAATTCTCTTGAAAATATATTGAGAGAATGAAATATACGCGCGATTTATTAATTTATAATATTATTAATAAATGTTACAATTTTTAATATTTCCTATGTAAATCGAGACATGTTTTATGACTTGATTAAATTTAAAAAAGGGAAAGATACATTTGAAAGAAATGTGTTGAGTATCCCATCGGAAAGACGAAGTGAAAAGGCTGAATTTTGTTGCGGTAGCTATTATAAATTGATAATCAAATATTTACGCACAATGGTTTGCGTGCGGCAATGTAAGTAAATATTTTACGATTGACTTTAGATAGAAACTTTAGTGTTCGCGTATTTACAAAACGATTAACGACAATGGTGAATGGCGCGTTCGGAGTATGGCGCCACGTCGTATCGACAGGAAATTGTTGGACGAAAGGATTGGCTCCAGAATTAGCGGTAAAAAACTAATGTTATCTGAGCGCACTTTTTCTGTCATTTAAATAACAAGCGGGAAATGCAAGAGATAGTCGCAATTAATTACTTTCAACGAATAAAATCATTTGAAATGTATTTCTTAACAAAAATTCTTTCTTACGTTTCTAATAATTTGCAGCTTCAATAATAATGCTGTTTTAATAATTACAACTCTGCTTTAAAGAGAGAAAGAGAAAGAGACAAAAAGAGCTTTGGAATAAAATAAAATTATACGAATAAAACGTCTCTCTGACATTATTAAAAAATTATCGCTTGAGAAAGCTTATTAAAAATATAAATTATAGAATATTTTAACTATGGGAAATTTTGTAAAATAGCAATAAGAGAAAAAAAGCAAGTGACCTATAGAATAGAAATGGTAAATGAAATTTGATCTTCAAGTTAATTTTGTACTACTACATGCCTATGATTAACGAATTATACAACGACATAAAGTGCATTAGTCATTTCTATTTCTAGGTTTAAACGAGATAACGCTCTTTTTGGAATAGCGGCATTTGTATAACCTGACGGAAAGCAAATTGCACTCTGCACACAAAACGTTCGACGGGACGTAGTTAGCAATGTCATTTTGTGACGATACGTTCGTGAGTTTTGTATGAATGGACCCTTGATGGTAGCGAGTTCTACCTGTAATCTGAACACGTTTTAACTTTCACGCTCAACGATATGAAAGCCGCGAGAGGATATATCTCGACGAGTGTGTGCGATATATTCTCTCCTGGTAAACTGTTTAAAGTATTTATTCTCGGTGTTCGCGCATATACGCGCAGGAAAAGGATGTATATTTCATATTCGTT